GGAGAGAACAGCCAGAGGCATCTGGAAGAGTCCACAGCAGAGAGAAAGAAGTACACTGAACAGGGCCAGCAGATTGGCTAGGGCTATCTGCAAATGTGGGGATGCAGAACAGGGGACAGAGAACAGAGATAAGATATCGAGAGAAGCAGGAGCAGAGTGAGGGAGGCAGGGAGAGGGGAGGAGGAGAGAGAGAGACAGAGACGAAGAGAGAATATGAATGAATATAAAAGTAACAAGGCCATAAGGAGATGGAGTAGCTGGGGGAGGGAAGCCCGAGAGCTGGAGGGAGTTTAGGGTAGGGTAGAGGAAGAGTTAAGAAGGACTAGGATGCTAGCATGGACTTTGAAATGTGTAACAGGTACTTGTGATACTGAAGGCGCCTGGAGGCCAGCCAGTGAGAGCTTTGGCCTGCTAATAGGCACAGGTAGTCATCTGTCCCTTCTTCTGGTGACAAGGGACATGACTTTCAGTAGAGGGGAACCAGCTTTGCAAGTTCCTGAGGGATGCTGGCTCTATCTAAGCACCAGAAGTCCTCCTGCAGTCCAGGTTGAGACCATTTCTGGATACCTGGACTGCCTTTTGGAGTCTGCGAAGTCAGTGTCTCATTTGGAACTGACATTAACAACAATGTACATGTAGTAATTTGCTTTTCTGTTGTGGAGTTGAAACACTTACCAAAACCATCCTGGGAAGGAAAGGATTTATTTCCTTCCATTTCCACATCACAGCCCATTATCATTGATGGAAATCAGGGCATGGACTGAAGCAGGAGAGGCAATGAAAGAATGCTGCTTACAGGCTTAATCCACGGGTGGCTCAGCCTGCTTCCTTATATAACTATGGCCCACCTGCCCAGGGGTATAAGCTGACTTAGCTAACCAGCACAGAGGTGTGGTAGTTTGGTTGGTAGCCTGCTCATCTAGCATGCAGGAGACCACGGGTCCCATGCCACACAGGGAGAAAGAGAGAGGCAGGGGGACGGAATAAATCAGTAACAAAAGGAGTTGGAAATTACAAAATCTTTGAGGTATTCAATAACAGATTTCCAAATAGTACAAGAGTCAAAAAGAAATAAACAATTTTTAAAAAAATATATAATTATATGAAAATAAAAATGTAACTTATCAGAATATCTGGGATAAAGCTAAAGCAGGAGAATTAGAAGAGAATGAAGATCAGGGTGAGATGGCTCAGGTGGTAAAGTGCTTGACTCGTAAGCATGAAGACTTGAGTTCAGATCCCCAGCACCCATGTGCAAAAGTTGAACACAGCAGCGTAGAGCCATGACTATGCACTGTGGGGACAAAGGCAGGGTGGCTCACAGGCCAGCCAGTCTAGTCAGCTTGTGAGCTCCAAGTTCAATTAGAGAACCAGTCTCAAAAACAAACCTACTCAATACTGCCAACATCGATCGCGCGCACACACACACACACACACACACACACACACACACACACACACACACACAAATTTTTCATTCATAGACAACCTATAGTCTCAGCACTAGTTAAGGCCAGCCTGGAATCTGTAAAAAGATCTGTTATAAAGAAAAAAAGACAAGACAAGAAGAATAGTTAAACAATCACCTAAGCATCCATCTTAGAAGACTGGAAAAGGAAATTAAATATAATGTAAGTATAAGAAAATAACTAATGGCAATTAGATCAGAAATCATTGACAAAGAATAAAGGCAATCAATAGAGAAAGTTGACAGGGCCAAGGCTCATTCACTCGTTCTTTGAAAGAGACCAGTTTTACCAGTAACTGTTGTCCAGGATAATTAGAAAAGAGAAAAATATCAATATCAGAAGTGAAAAGGAACACCATCACATATGCAATGGTATTAAGAAAACAGAAAAATTGTGAACTCTTTGCCCACTGATGTATATAGATTAAAATATACCAAGAAGCAGACAATATACTGATAGGATCAGTGGTGGAGACTCACTGGTGAATTCTGTTAAGTGTTTATAGAAGAAATTATACCAATTCTTTATAATCCCTTTCACAGACAGAAACAGAGGGTATGCTTGCTAGCTTATCAGAAGAGGATATCAGCCTAAAACCTACCCAGACAATACCCCTCATGAACACAAAAGGAAAATTCACCAATAAAATATTACCAAATATAATTCAACAATGTATAAAAAGACTTATACATGGCAATCAAGTGAAATACCCTAGATACATAAGGCAGGTTCACTACTTGAAAATTATTTAATGTAATCCATCACATCAATAGGATAGTGAAGGAAAATCACATCATCATATCAGTAGAGAAAAAAATGTTTGTCAAAAATCTAATGCTCATTCATGTAGAAGAAAAAAATCTTGTCAATCAACTATGACCAGGGAGGACTTTTTCATTTTGAAAAGAGACAGTTACAGAAAACTTGGCAACTAGCATAACAATTAGTGGTGAGAAACTCAAAAGTTTTATGATTTTTCTCTTTCTTTTTTTAGCACCATGCTAAAAGCCCTATCTAATGCAGTAAGACAAAAAAGTTTCCTTGCTCACAGATAGCATCATTGTCTTGTAGCAAAGGACTAGGCGAAGAGACCCTGTACTGGTTCTAATGTTGAGATGGCACCGGTACCTGCTTAGTCCTCAGAGAGACCCATTGCCTGGATCATACAGAGGACAGCATCACGGTAGGAACACACGTGAAAGGCCATGAGAAAGGAAGCTGGGCAGGGTTTGGGGAGACAGGCTTGCTCTCTTACAATTAATTTCCTCCATGTGGCATCAATCCTTTCTGATGGAGGGCCCCCAGTGACTATGTTCCCCACCAATGACCATATCATTATGTCCCACCTACTAGAAGGTTCTACCACTTCCTATATCACAACATGGGCCATATCCAAACAATAGTTTAGATATATATTCCACATTCAAGGACAAAAAGAGTCAATACTGTCAAAATGTCAGTTCCTCACAACTTTATCAACAGATTCAATGCAACCCAGTCAAGATGCCAGCAAGTTATTTTGGTGACACTGAGAAATTGAATGGATATTATTAGAGGCTGGGGTGCAGTTTAGTAATGGAGTGCCTGCCTAGCATTTAGGAGGCTCCTATTTCACCCCATCCCACGAGAGAAGAGGGCAGAGGGAAGAAGGAATGGGGGGGGGAGAGTTTGTGTGACTTATAACAGGGTAATCAAGACCATGTAAAACTTGAAAAACAGATAGATGATAGACAGAATAGATAGATGGATGAATAGATGGCTAGATAAATAGATGATAGACAGACAGATGAGAACATCAGAATACAGAATCCCAGAAGTCACCCCACATAAATATCAACAGATCTTTGGCAGGGAGTGAAAGGCATTAAGATGGTACAAAGAATCTTTTCAACAAATGGTACTAGAACAACTGGACATTTGGATGTGGAAAATAACACCAGTCACAAAAATGGGCTAAAAGCAATCACAGACTTAGATATAAAATGGTAACTGTAAAACCCCCTAGATTAGTACAACATAGAAGAAAATGTAGATAGCTATAGATACGGTGATGACTGTGCAAAACACCAAAGCCACAGCTTATGAAAGAAATAACTGATGAGCTGGGTTTCATTAAAATTTAAAACTTTTAGCCAGATATGGTGGCACATGTCTGTAATTTTAATACGGAGGGCTGGGGCAGGACAGTCATGAATTCAAAGCCCATACTACAGAAAGACCTTTAAATTTTCAGACTTTTGCTACATGAAAAACTGGGCCTAGCAAAATGAAAAGACAATGAGAAAATACTTTCCAAAAGGAACATGTGAGAAGGGACTGTTACCAAAAAATATAAAGAAAATGCTGAGAATTCAATTGTAAGAATACATGTAACCCAACTTGCAGTGCCCACGTGGCCAGAGTACCGAGCTTGGCGGAGGGTGTCGGGATTGAAACACTTAACCACCACAAGAAGTGAGGAGGAGGAAGGAAGCTGCTGCCCTTTATTACAGAGAGTAATGGGCTTATATACCCAAGCCAGGGGATGGGCTAAGCATAGGAGGAAGTCATGCACCACCCACACCTGGTGTTAAGGCACAGGCACTGCACACGGGAAAGTTATGAGAACCTTGTTTGATCAACCTTGAGAGTACGGGAGTTCTACAGCTGGGTGGGGAGGAAGAGAGCTGTAAGGGAAAAGTACTTAAATTCCCCCAACAGTTCCTCGCTTTTTATTTTTTTAAATGAAGTGATCCCTGTCTTAGGTCACCTGGGGAACAAATACCTTACCCGTCATGGGGGAAATGCTCTCATTCCCTGTCTTAGGCAGCATTGATCCCGCTAGGAGTTGCCTGTCATTGGTTATTGCTTCTCCAGCATCTGTAGCCACACTTAGGCTGATTCAGGTTATATTGCCAAGGCCTTGAGTGCCTGTCGGGTGACACTTGCCTGTCTATAGTACTGGATGTGGAAATCCAGATGCAGGCACTGATACCCAGAACCCCGAGTAGGGATAACGTAATAGACCCCGACCAATGCTGTACCAATTCCCCAACGTGGACATGCAATTTCACCAATCACTAGTTTTTACAGGATCCACATGAGTGTTAATCATCTTAATAGCGTAGCTCAACTGGGTAGTGAAATTGACAAAGGTAACATTCCATCAGAAGCATTAACAACATTTCCAGGACTCACACAAACAGAATGGTAGTAAGACAAATTGTTGATGAATCTCTAAAACCCCCTTTTTAGTCACTTTTCTCTGTAAACAATATTTGGGAATTTGGGCGTCGTTTTTTCTGAACTGCTTCCTGCTGGTAAGGGGTACTGTCATGGGAGATCCTAAGAAGACGCAGAAATCCTGGCTGTAGTCTGCAACTCAGGAGTCCCAGGACAGACTGAACATCACAGCATGACCCTCACAAACCTAACATTAGGTAATGTTCGGGGACACATCAGGGAGAAGGACATATAATTGATGCATCTCAGGCCATTCTGTTCTGCATAACAAAATATCATACACTGAACAATTTTAACAAACATAAAACTGTGCTCACTTCAGCAGCACATATACTAAAAATTGGAACAATACAGAGAGGATTAGCCTGGCTCCTGTGCAAGAATAGCAGCGAATTTGGGAAGTGTTCCATGTATTTAAATGCAAAAAAAAAAAAAAAAAAAACCCTTAGAAAATTATTTCTCACAGCTTTAAAGGTCAGGGAAGCCAAGGTCCAAGGCAGGTTTATTGTCTGGTGAGGGTCCAATATCTGACTCCAGGGTACACTGAATGCCAATGGAAGAAGACAGCAGGGGTAGATTCCCTCTCAGGAGCCCTTTTACAATGGTTCCTAATCCCACATGAAGGCACAGCCTTCATGACTTCATATCTGAAAGCCAAACCCCACCCCAAAAACTGCTGCATTAGGGTAAAATTTCAACAAGACATAAATATTCACATCATAGCAGCCAACAAATAAGCCTACAAAAGGGCAGTCAACATCATATGTCATCAGATAATTGCAAATAAAAACATGGTACTCCATGACACACTTATTAGGGTAGGTAGCCCAAATCCCAAACACCAGTAACATCAAATCTGGCAAGGATGTGGACCACCCAAAACCATTGCCCACTGCTGGTAAAAGTGTAGATAATCTGAAAAACAGCTTTGTTGAGCATTCTTTTAGTCTGAGCCACTAACCATACTTTTTGGTACCTACCCAAATAGGTGGAAAACCAGCCATAATTAACTTGAATGTGAATATTTATTGCAGTTCCATTTATAATTATCAAGACATGGCAGCAACTAAGATAACCTTCATAGTAAGCAGAGGAATAAGCTGTGGGTACAACTAGAATGAGTAAGTGAAGAACAAACATGAAAAGACATGGAGCCAATTTGGACAAGCTATAGACTGTACCACTGTAACTATTCAAGTCTATAAAAAGCAAACCGTAGAGTTCTACAGAGACCTTCTAAAAAGATCAGTGACTGTCAGTGTGCAGGAGGAGACAGGAATGATGAGGCAGGAGCCAGGATCTTCAAGGCAGTGAAACTATTGGGTATGATTCTGCAATAACAGTGGATTCCTGCCATTCCTCATTTACCCACACCCACAGATGCATCTCTAGGACTGAGCATGTGCACTGCAGACGTGGAGCAACAATGACGTGCCAGTGTAGCCTCGATGGCTGTCCCAAATGCACACTGTGGCACAGGAAGCTGGCGTGTGCATGCTGCTTGTTTTTCTTACTGCTATGACAAAATACTTGACAAAAGCAACTTAGGAATAGAAGGATTTATGTTGGCTCATGGTGTGAGGATATGGTCCATCATGGCAGGGAAGACATGGCTACCACCAGCATTGGGTGGGTTTTCCCTTCTCAGTTAAGTTCTCAGGACATACCTTAACATACACGCCAAGCGTTCAAAGTTACTCTGATGACAATAGAGATTAAACTGATGGTAACATGAGAAATCTCTGGAGTTTTTTTGTTCCAGTCCTTTTTTTTTTTCTTTTAGCTTTTTTCTTTGTTGTTGTTTGTTTTTGTTGTTTGCTCAGTTTTGCTGAGAAAAATAAATGCTAATGCTTAGATGATGACAGTCCCCAAGAAGCCTGTGTGTTAAAGGTTTGTTCACACCCAGGTGGTGCTTTTGGGAAATAGAACTTCTAGAAGATGGGGCCTAGGAAGTCTTTAGCCCACTCCACAAGATATAATCTATGTCTGGTATCAATAACTGAAACCAAAACTTGTAGCTGGCTAGGACACAGGTCCTGAGAGAAAACCTAGTACTATAACTCTGTTAAATGGACACAGTAAAAAACTGCCCCCTAAGTCATTATCTCTTACCCACAGATTAGAGCATATCTCAACCCTTATCAGGGAAGGCTCTTTTTGCAGTAAATGGTGATTAATACAGAGACCCATAATGAGTAAGCATGAAGAGAATAATAGTGTGAAACACACAGCTCTAAATGAGACAGCTATATCATGTTCCCTCTACATAAGTATATGAAACTATAACAGAAAAGGGGGTAGAAAGATTGTAAGAGTCAGAGGGAGTAGATGCCTGCAGGAAAGCAGCATTTGCAGGACAGGTCAGTGCACATGACTCACAGTGGCTACAGTTAAATACACAAGACTATCTATCACATGACCCAGACAAAACCCCACCATGGATGGAAGGAGGTGGCTCGTGAAGTCCCATCCTTATAAGGAGATTTGGCACTAGATGGCTGCTGGAAGGATGACAGTAAGTTTTCTTTGGGGTAACTGATGCTCCAGTAGATGGTACAACACCCATGCACATTCAGGTAGCACTAAATGGAGTCTGTGAGTACCGGGGCAGGGGGCTACCTATGAAAACAAAACAAATAGCTTGTATACTTGCATGAAATTATCAAAGGATATATAAAATCAAATTTAAAAATAAGAGAAGATTAGCTATGACCATGTATATAGAAATGCCCTTTTGGTATGAAGGGCAACCTGCTAAAGGAATATTGTAATATGTCAATCACAGCCAGAAGATGCTACAGCAATGAATACCTTTTTCCCTTGGACAGTTGAACCTGCCCAAAGAACCTGTAATCGCCTCTCTCCCTATGATCATCACAAGTTAAACAAAGACATCTTCAAAAGGAATAATGGTGTGCTTTCATGACAATTTTTCCTAAGTTTAAAAATGCAGAATTCTGGGCCTTTTTTCTTTGACTGGCAAATTGGCAGGACTAGTTTTAGCTGTTTAAATGAGTTCTCTGTACCTGTTAGGTACAGAGTACAGTCTAGTTCCAGTTCTAGAAGGCATCCCTTCAGGGAGTGACTACCACCCTGACTTCCAGCGGGTGGGGGGTGCGGGATATGCTATTTTTGTTTTTCAAGGAATCACACTTTTTTAAAATTAGAACGTATGGTGTGAAGAGGCTGGCAACTCACCAAGTCAATTACAAAAAGTGTAAAACACAAAAGCAAAGGTGCAGACATGCCTCAAGAATGCTTATGATGGTTTTATTTCTCCTACTGCTTGATCTCTCTGGCAAGTGCTTATTTTATGTGTGTGCGCTCCAATAAAGCTTTATTCACGAAATGAATGGCAAGAATAGAGTTGGCACATTTGGTAGATTAAAAATACAGAATTTCTGGCTACATCTATATTTTAGATAAACAATGAATATTTTTAAACTTTTTATTGAGGTATAATTTGGATGCCATTAAATCATACACTCTTGAATTACAGACTACGGTGGCTTTCAGAGCAACTCTGAGCCCATCTTCATAAGCAGTCCTTCTGTCTGCTCTGCTATCTGGCTATGAAACTGTCTACTGTGGACATTTGTATAAATGGTGTGAAGTAGATTACAGTGGGAACTGTCGTGTTCTGGTAGAGCTCACTGAGAAGCTGGTTCTGCATTATGTGGTCCTCTCCCCCTGCCAGTGCTTTTCAGATCCATGCATATTTGTCTCAAAGTGTCTTCCAAGGCTCCTTGTCTGGGGACAGGCTGCCAAACCCCCAATTCTATGATAAGGCAGGTGAGGGTAGCAGGAGAGAACAGCAAAATAGCCCAAGAGTAGAAACACCATGTCCTGAGAACAGCTAGAAGGTAAAGCATTTCCAACAGATGTTGCTATTGTCTTTCCCATGATACAAAAATGCCTGCAGTGGGAAGGAGTCTGGCCAGGTAAACTCGTTCCAGGAGAGAAAGCTCATCTGGGGATTTTAGCTGACTGCCTCTGCTCCCCTGCTAGTTTCTGCTGAATACTTTAAAGCTCTCACTTTGGTGGTGTTGCCCAAGTCTGCTGCTGTTTGTTCCTTTATTTGGAAGCCCCACACAAGGAGACAACTGTTTTTTCCTGGGACCCTATCAGGAACTCTGACTGCCTCTGGGACTTCCCCAGGACATTTCTGCTGAATGTTCTGAGCACACAATTAGATGCTTTTTCTCCCATCATCTAACTCTCTCTTGCTAGTCATTATTTTACTATGGATTACTATATACCTAATAAACTCACTCATTCGAAAATCAAAGAAAATCGCTCTCTGAATTACACAGAAAAAAATGGATACCATATATCACATGGCTCTATGTTTTGTTTCTTGGAGTCCCCCCCCCCAGCCTATTTTCAAAGCTCATCAATAATATAGTATTTATTAGTACTTTGTTCTCTAAAAATGTGTGTGTGTGTGTGTAGGTGCCTACAGATGTTAGAGGTATTAGATTTGCCTGGAGCTGAAGTTGCAGATGGTTGGGAGTCAGTGTACATGGAAGCTGGGAACCCAACCTGGGCCCTCTAAGAGCAGCAGGCATCTTAACTGCTGAGCCCTTTCTCTAACCAAAGCACTCCATTCTTCTTATGGTTGGATAATATTCCCTGGTATGGGTGCACTATACTTTGCTCATGCCTTCTTCAGCAGATAGATATGTGGGCTGTTATAAATAATGGTGCTATAAATATTCATGAACAAGGTTTATATGGACAAATCCTTTCTTGGCTCTGGGATACATATCTAGGAGTGGAAGTGGTGGGCGATTTAGTAACTCTGTGCCTAACTTTCGGAAGCATCGTTGTCTTCCCACCAGCAACATATTAGGATTCCAACTCGTCCACCTTCCTGTCAACACTTGTTATTGTCAGTCTTCCACACGCACTCAGCCCTCCTGCTGTGTGTGGGTGAGAAAAGGATACTGAGCACACCTCTGAGGGAAGCCACGTGCCCTATCCGAGGGCAATCTGCAGCCCTATCCGAGGGCAATCTGCAGCCCAACCAGGCAGTTAAAATGTGTCCATTCTGCATCCTCGCTGTCACTCTTGGGCAGCTCCAGAAGAAGGAGTGAGCTTACCTAATACTGGGCTGTGCACGGCAGGGTCTCTTATTAACAGAAGAAAGGATTTTAACACCTTGAAAAATATTGAAAATTCAAAGAGAACTGGGGATGGAGAGGACAGAAGGGGGTCAGGAATTAGCGTAATAAATGCTTTACCATGCAGTGCAGCCTTGGAAGACATGCTTGCAGGTGCCACCCTTCTAGGGACTGCATTCTCTGCACGTGAGGCTTGGCCCCTGTGGAGGGGTGACCATAAAAGCCTGAGTGCCCAGAGCAACCTCCACTTTTCTTACTTTGCATACAGATGGTTTTCAAGAAGGCCTAAGCTG